CCTTATCACTTATCTAGACGGGCGGAGAGCAAAAAGGAAGAAGCTATTCAAGTATGACAGACGCTTACAATCTGTGGAGGGGATTCGAGAAGTGGTAGAAAAAGCTTGGCTCCCCGACAAACCTGAAAAGGTAGCTTGCAAGATTAATAGATTCAGAAGAGATCTCATCAAATGGTCGAAAAAGAAACAAAAGAACAGTGAGCACAGCATGAAAACCTTACAGAAGTCCCTAGAAGAAGCCCTTTCATCGGATACTCCCAACACTCGGCTCATTGGAGAAATCACAACAGAATTGGACAAGACGTATAAAGCGGAAGAACTCTTCTGGAGGCAAAGGAGTCGAGTACAATGGCTCCAGGGAGGGGACAAGAACTTGGCTTACTTCCACGCTGTCACGAAGGGAAGAAGAGCAGCAAACAGACTCATGGTGATAGAAAACGCCCAAGGAAACCCCATCTTCGAGGAAGACCAAATAGGGCAGGTCTTCTCGGCTTTCTTCCAAAAATTGTTCTCCTCCAATGGCACCACAGAGTTTAAAGAAGTATCAGAAACTCTAGTAAGGAAAGTTACTCCAGAGATGAATGAGAAACTCACAAAATTACCTTCTTTTTGAGGAAATCAGAACAGCAACATTCGCCATACATGCAGACAAATCCCCGGGGGCTGACGGTTTTTCAGCTGGCTTCTACCACTCCTTCTGGAACATCATAGGAGAGGATATATGTTACGAAATCGTAAGATTTTTTGAAACAGGAATCATGGAGACAAACCCGAATGACATGCAGGTGTGCCTCCTCCCAAAAACCTCTTCAGCAAGTACCCCCTCGGATTACAGGCCAATAGCTTTATGCAATGTTCGCTACAAAATCATCGCCAAGATCCTCACCATGCGCCTACAACCAATTCTTGATCCACTCATCTCTGAGCACCAATCTGCCTTCGTCCCGGGAAGAGCTATTGCGGACAACGTGCTCCTCACCCACGAGACCTTGCATTACTTGCAAACATCAAAGGCGTCAAAGAGATGCTCTATGGTAGTCAAAACCGATATGAGTAAAGCATACGACAGAATTGAATGGGGTTTCCTTAAGGAAGTGTTACTTATCTTAGGATTCCACCAGTCCTTCACTCACTGGATTATGGCGTGTGTCACCTCGGTCTCATACACGTTCCTAAAAAATGGAACCCCTACCGGAAGAGTGCTCCCCACCAGAGGTCTCAGACAAGGAGACCCTCTATCCCCCTTCTTGTTCTTCTTCTGCACCGAAGTACTCTCTGGATTATGCACTAAAGCGCAGGCTTCAGGAAAACTCAAAGTGGCACGTCAAAGCCCCTTTATTAATCATCTCCTCTTCGCGGATGATACCCTCTTCTTCTGCAGAACCAATCCGAGGAACTGCAAAGAACTCTCCCGGATCCTGAAGACATATGAAAACCGTTCAGGTCAGTGTATCAATCTTGCCAAAACTTCCATTACATTATCCTCTAAGACTCCTCCAGAGATACGGGAAAGGGTCAAAACCACTCTTGGAATAGACAAGGAAGGAGGATCAGGAAAGTACCTTGGGTTACCCGAGCTATTCGGGAGAAGGAAAAAAGATGTGTTCACGGGACTCGTGGATCGAATAAGGCAACAGGCACACAGCTGGACATCCCGTTTTCTCTCAGGAGCAGGCAAGCAAGTTCTTCTGCAGGCAGTACTATCAGCTCTGCCAGTGTATACCATGTCTTGTTTCAAACTCCCAAAATCTCTCTGCAAGAGCATCCAGTCAATTCTCACGAGGTTTTGGTGGGACTCCTCACCGGAAAAAAGAAAGATATCGTGGGTAGCTTGGTCACGTCTTGCACAACCAAAACGAGCAGGGGGCCTAGGATTCAGAGAAATAGAAGAGTTTTATACTGCTCTTCTAGCAAAACAAAGCTGGAAAGTAATCAAACACAAAGAAAGTCTTTTGGCTAAGGTCTTACTTGGGAAATACTGCACTGAGAGGGACTTTTTGGAAGTGAACTGCACAGCGAGAGCCTCCCACGGCTGCAAAGGAATCCTAGAAGGAAGATCAGTCCTCCGAAAGGGTTTAGGCTGGATCGTAGGAAATGGCAGTAGCATAGATGTTTGGTCAGCTCCTTGGCTCTCCATCAAGACCCCCCAAGCACCTTATGGCCCCCCTACAAAAGACAACGCATCACTCAAAGTCAAAGACCTACTACACCAAGACTCAAACGATTGGAACTTAGAGAGTATCCAAACTCATTTACCTCAGTATGAGGATATTATACGCCAGATCATCCCAAACTCCAGGAAACCAGCAGACTCACTGGTCTGGTTACTAGATAAAGCAGGAAGCTTCTCGACGAAAACAGGCTACAACCTACAAAAGAAATTCAATCAAGTCAGAGACTTAGAGTTTGGCTGGTACCAATATATATGGAATCTTCACATCCCTCCGAAGATCAAACACTTTCTCTGGCGAGCCACAAATCACGCATTACCTGTGGGAGCCAATCTCAGCTGAAGGGGGATAGAGATGAACTCGGAGTGCTCACGGTGTGGTACTCTGGAGACGATTTTCCACGTCTGGATAGGCTGCCCGTTCACTCTCTCTGTCTGGAGGACCACGACAATCAATCCATCACCTTCAGATGTAAGCACATACTTGGACACCAGAAGCCTCCTCCAGTCTCTCCACAAATCAAAGAACCCTCCTTCATCGGGACTAACAGAGACCCCTCTCTACCCCTGGATCCTCTGGTACCTTTGGAAAACGCGAAACAAACTGATCTTCGAAGAGTCGAACATGGCTTGCACAGCTCTGGTAGGCAAGGCCACTTCGGAAGCACGCGCCTGGCAAGCGGCAAACACTGAATCGACCTCAAAGCCCCCGCATCTCCCCAAGCCAAAAAGGACCGTCGAACTTTCCCCAACTCCAATCTGCTTCACTGATGGAGCGTGGAACCCAGTTTCCAAAGTCGGAGGCATGAGCTGGATCATAGTTGACCCATCCGGTAACACAATCAAGGAAAACTCCACCTCAAGAAGCTTCGTAGCCTCGGTCTTAACGGCAGAAGCATTAGCAGTTCTCAGCGCCTTGCGAGACTCCGTGTCACTCGAGGTAAAGGACATGCACATCAAATCGGACTCAGAAGTCTTCATCAACGCCCTCACCGGAGGATCGGAACTGGTAGAGATCGCAGACATCCTCGATGATATCAGGAACGTTGTTCCTCTTTTCTTTTCCATTTCATTCAGTTTTATTAAGCGATCTGTAAACTGTGTAGCAGATGGACTGGCCAAAACAGCCCTAATTTCTTGTAGCCTATTGGGCTCTGTCTAAATTTTTTTCAAGTTAAATTTAAAAAGTTGACCAAAAAAAAAAAGAATATCTGACCATTTAGATCTAACTAATTATATTCATCAAAAAATTATGGAAAAAAACAATTTCCTATGAAATTCCAACAAAATTTTTCATTTAAAGTCAGCTATTTTCTTATAATGAATGGAGCAGAAGATATTGCAATTTTCGACTATAAACTCGAAGCAATCTTAATATTTAAGTCCTAGATGAAAGATGTAATTGGTTGGTGAAAATCGGGTCTCACACTCGAATATCGATAATATACTATATGGTAGATAAAAGATAATATACTTTGGCACTCATGTTTAGTCTCGCTATTCGTATGAAATAAGATGAGATATATTAATATGCTTCGTTGGAAGAGAGATGACAATTTTTTGTTGACTATTCAGAATTCAAGAATTCTCGGATGTTGGCTGTATATAATTAGAACAAGTTGTTGATAGGAAAAGTTGTCACTTCTTCCTAAGCTTGAAAGTGTCGGTGACCACTTAATTAACGAACAAGTCCTTATCATCACTCTTATTTTCGTGGAATGTAAGATTAGGATATACTCTATTTCTTCAGCCTCTAATTAACCGAAGCTAAACCACTCGATGTCCTCCAGTTATCATTTAATGTACAATTCTTACTTCAACACAATCAAACAATATTTAATAATATCCTTTAATAACAACTGTATTTCATAATATCAATCCTATAGAATTTTGAAATTACCTACGTACATGTGAATTCGCCATTTCTATACAAAATCATATGTGCGATACGTAATCTTTTGGGATTGATGTCTTTTTCATTGTTTTGAAGAATTAAAAAAAATTGTTGATTGTGGTCCTCCGACGGCCAACACATCGTGTTTCACTAGATATGGCATTTACCCAAAAACGCGTTGAACAAACGAAATTTGGTTTTAGCAACCAAAAAAAAAACGAAGTTTGGTTTTGATATTTTAATTACCGAAGGTAGAAAAAGTAATTATATTTCATATTTTATCTTATCGTTGTTTTTTGGTTTGATTTTCTTATGTTAATTCCATTTAAAATATTATAATACTTTCAAGGATTCCAAAAAACTTACTACGTTTAGTTTAGTAAATAATCTAATTATATTTTTTATTATTACATTTTTAATAAATGTTATTAATATTTATAATTTTAAATTCAGTTTATTTTTCATGATATATATACACTTCAAATTATACAGTAGACAATTGATCATTCTTTTAACAAAAATACTAACTCATTTTATATAGATCTAAAGTTTCTATCACATGAATTTTAATGCAAGCTACAACGGCTCACCAGTTAAAATTCTATATCTCACTTGAAGTAGTCACTTATTTTCCTTTCAGATTTTTTTTATGGTAAAAAAGTTCTGGAAATTTTGTAGCTTTTTCTTTCCATAGAAATTTCATCTGCCTCATATTTCATTCAAATCTCATCTGACTCTTTCAAACCATTTTTTTCTTGTTTATTAGTCAACACTAATGTTTTTCTATTTCATGACTTCTTCTTTGACAGACATTTTTATAGCACTTCAAAGTCTTTCATAGATTACAAGACTCTTTCAAACAAACTCCTTACCCTGCCTGCATATATATATATATATATATATATATATATCATAAAAAGGAAGTTAAAGAATCACATTAAGTGTCTGTCTCCTCGATCTTAGGATAGTGACGATGACGATGAACACTACAAAAACTCATACCACCTTTCTGAGTTACTTTCTCCTGTTCCTTTCGGGGTTTGTGTTAATGGAAGTTGGTTTAGCACAAAACCCAATAAGTGAAATCAAAGTAGGAGTAGTTCTTGATCTCAAAACAAACAATGCCAAGATTTGCCTCACTTCTATTAACATGTCGTTGTCCGATTTCTATGAAGATCATCCAAATTACGGCACAAGACTTGCGCTTCACGTCAGGGATTCCATGGAAGATACTGTTCAAGCTTCAGCTGCAGGTTCGTTACTTTTCTGTCTCTTGCTTTTCCGTTACATGTAAGGCATCATTTGGATTTATTAATAATTACTTTTAGTTGAATGAAACATACTACGTAGGAAGTGTCGGCCAGACATTCGTTGAATCTAAACAATCTTTTAGATGACTATTATAAAAAATTCTAAGTGTCTTCTTATCAAGTATGTGCATATTTAAGTGTCTTGTTGACGATTAATCTTTTACATTATTATTAAAATTCCAAGTGTCTTCTTAGGTGGTCTATTCTCAAATCTTCCAATTCTTTCTTTTCTGGAAAGGCTTGGTGAAGATTGTATTATGTTTATGGTCGAAGAAATCCTTCATACTAATCATTCTCGTCAAATTATTTTTAAATCATTGGTTTTCTAATATGTTAGATCAATACTGAATGGCATATGATACCTAACTTCAATTTGTTTCTTTTCTAGAAAGGCTTGATGACGATTGTGTTTGTCTGGTCGTCAAAGAAATCCCTAATACTAATTAATTATTCTCGTCAAAATGTATTTTTAAATCGTTGGTCTTTTAATATATGTTAATTAGATAATTGCTGATATGGCATATGATGGCTTTACAATTAATTTTTAAATGATACGAATAATTATTTAAATTTCAGTTACTTGCATAGTAATGCCAAAAACTCAACAAGAACTATTAATATCTTGTATTTTGATATTTAAATTACTTGCGTACGTTAGTAATAATTGTGGCCACAATTCTTTTATTTATGTAATATGAAAATTAAATTTTTGCCAAACATTTTGTCTCTCTAACTTCTCAAAACAAAATGTTTAACGTTTTGGTTTTCTTTTTGTTTGCTTGTGGTGTAAGCAGCTTTGGACCTAATCAAGAACGAGAAAGTGAGCGCCATCATCGGACCAAGAACCTCTACGCAAGCCGAGTTTATGATCAAACTGGCCAACAAATCTCAAGTACCGACCATCACATTCTCTGCAACAAGCCCTCTTCTGAGATCCATCAACAACCCTTACTTCGTCCGAGCCACTCTCGACGACTCAACTCAGGTCGGAGCCATTGCGGCCATTGTCAAATCGTTCGGGTGGAGAAGCGTCGTCGCCATTTATGTGGACAACGAGTTAGGTGAAGGAATCATGCATTCGTTGTCAGACGCTTTAGAATACGTGGTAGTCCAAAGAAGTGTGATCTCTCCGGAGGCTAACGATGATCAGATTCTAAAGGAACTTTATAGGCTCATGACGAAGCAGACAAGGGTATTCGTTGTCCACATGTCCTCAAGGCTCGGATCCCGAGTTTTGCAGAAAGCTAGAGAGATTGGGATGATGGAAGAAGGGTATGTATGGTTACTATCAAATGGAATGACGCATATGATGAGACATAACGATCGTAGCTTAAAAACTCTGGAGGGCGTGTTAGGTGTGAGGAACCATGTCCCCAATTCGAAAGAGCGTGAAGACTTCAGTCTGAGATGGAAAAGAAAGTACGACATGGAGAACCCGGAGAATGATGCAGGGCTTGATGTTTACGCATTATGGGCGTATGATTCGATCACTGCATTGGCCATGGCCGTGGAGAAAACCAGCTCAAAGAGCTTGTGGTATGATAGCGCTAGTGATTCCTCAAACAACATGGCTGATCTGGCAACCCTTGGGGTCTCTCGCTACGGTCCAAGTCTTATAAGCGCTCTCTCGGATGTACGATTCAAGGGGTTAGCCGGAGAGTTTAAACTTATTAATAGGCAGCTTGAGTCATCATCTTTTGAGATCATCAATTTTGTTGGAAATGAAGAGAGGATTATCGGGTCTTGGACACCAAGAAATGGACTTGTGAACGCAAATTCAAAGAAAACGACGCCGTTTTCAGATGGGAGGTTCGGGCCGGTGATATGGCCCGGAAATTCGAAAATTGTTCCAAAAGGTTGGGAGATTCCAACGGACGGGAAGAGGCTTAGAGTGGGCATTCCTGTAAAGAAAGGCTTCTTCAATTTTGTGGAAGTAAAGACAGATCCGATCAGTAACCTAACGACCGCAAAGGGTTTCGCCATAGACATCTTTGAAGCTGCTCTTAAGAAGTTGTCATATTCAGTCATTCCTCAATACTACCGTTTTGAGTCTTCAGATGATAATTACAATGATTTGGTCCACCAAGTCTCTGACGGGGTTAGTTCTCTTTTTTTCTTTCCCATATTTCTTAAGAAACAGGTTAATACAAAACCAGTTATAACAAGTAGTTAAACCATGTCTCTGATATAATAGATTAGTTATTCTTCTTCCATTTGTGATTTTTAACATATTTTTAATAAAATGGAACAGACGTGGGATGCAGGTGTTGGAGATATAACCATCACAGCAAACAGGTCACGTTTTGTTGATTTCACGTTACCGTACACAGAGTCTGGGGTGTCTATGATGGTGCCGCTCAGGGACAACGGGAACAAGAACACATGGGTGTTCCTCAAACCTTGGAGCTTAGACCTATGGGTCACTACCGTTTGCTTCTTCGTCCTCATGGGTTTTGTTGTGTGGCTGTTCGAACACAGAGTAAACTCTGACTTCCGTGGACCGCCTCATCACCAGATCGGCACTAGTTTTTGGTTCTCCTTCTCCACCATGGTTTTCGCCCACCGTAAGTTTTTACACCAATCAAGAACACAATTAAAGTTTAATAAGTGAGCTAAGTGAGACTAGTTTACCTTAGAACACAAGATTTCTTATGCTAAAGTGGAATTGTGCGTACGTGTGTATATAGGTGAGAAGGTGGTGAGCAACTTATCTAGGTTTGTGGTGCTTGTATGGTGCTTTGTGGTCCTTGTGCTTACTCAAAGCTACACAGCGAATCTCACCTCTTTCCTGACGGTACAACGTTTACAACCAGCGGCCACAACTGTGAAAGATCTCATCAGAAATGGGGATGTTGTAGGTTTCCAACACGGCGCTTTTGTTCACGATATTCTTATAGATCTGGGATTTCATGAATCACAGCTCAAGCCTTATGGTTCTGCCGAAGAATGCGACGATTTTTTGTCCAAAGGGACATTAAAAGGTGGTATTGCAGCAGCTTTTGACGAAGTGGCTTACCTTAAAGCTATCCTTTCTCAGTACTGCTCCAAATATGCCATGGTCGAACCTTCCTTTAAGACAGCTGGTTTTGGCTTTGTAAGTTCTTTATGTTTCTTTTAACGTTTTACAAGATGGCAACAACAAAAAAAAGTATGTATTTTCATTGCTCGCTTCTTTTGTTTCCATGATCGATGTGTAGGCATTTCCAAAGAATTCGCCTTTTACGATAGATGTCTCAAGGGCTATCTTGAATGTGACACAAGGCGAAGAAATGAAACTCATCGAGAACAAATGGTTCAACCGGCCCAGCCTCACTAGTGAATGTCCTGATCCAAAGACCGCTCTTTCGTCTAACCGTCTCAGCCTCAGTAGCTTCTGGGGGCTGTTCTTAATAGCAGGCATTGCTTCATTCTTGGCCTTTCTCATCTTTGTATCCCTCTTCTTGTATGAACATAGGCACACGCTATGTGATGATTCCGGATGTTCCGTGTGGAGAAAGCTAACGAACTTGTTCAGAATCTTTGATGAGAAAGACATAAAGTCGCATACTTTCAAGAACAATGGCGTTCATAATGTGAGTTCACCTATGACTCCGTGCGATCCGAGCCCTTCGACTGTGCAGATCAGACCATGGGCACGAAGCATGTCATTAAACAGGGAGTTTGAGCTAAGAAGAGCCTCTTTCGCCATAAGTGAAGAACGTTTCACTACGATACCGATACATGATGAAGACGGAGGATCTGATGTTGAAAGTGGAGCCGAAATTATAGAGAGAGGATAAGGAAACTCCATAACAAGTTAGTTTGTTAGATTAACCCAAAAAAGAGTTAGATAATGATAATATTCTAGGTTCCTTACATATAATTGCATGTAAAGTTTTTTTGGTCTAAATCTTTTAGGAAAAAAAAAAAGCTTTTAGAAAAAAAGTTTTTTTTGTCAAGAAAATCAATGCAAGACTTGCAAGTTATCATAAAAAATTTATTAATAAGAAACTGTATATATTTATAGTAATGATTAAATCTACTATATGAAAAGAAGTAGAATAAATCTTCCCGATGCCAGTTGGCGACCAGGATACCAGGACTGTTTTTCTTGATTCTTTCATCTATAGTACCTTCTTGGCCTCACATGTCATATTTATATCTTTTGTATATATTAGGTATATATCCGCGCGATGCTACAGATTTTTTATAGTTTATTTTATTAATTTATATCATATTTTAATAAATAAAAATAGATACAGAAATAAATAGTTTAACTAAAATTTAGTTATATATAATTAAAATTTTTTTAATATTTTTAATATTATTATTATTATTATTATTATATAATGATATAAGATTTTGAAAACAATTATTATTTTAAACAAAATCAAATAAGAATGTAATTATATTTTTTATTTAATTTATATTTTTTTTCAACTTTCTAACAACGTCTAATTTTTTTATACATTATTAAAAAATGTATCTATTTATTTTTTAAGTTTTTTTTTTAATTTGAATACATCATTTATTCATACGTCACTCAAAGCTAACATGTTATCTATTTATATTTGAATTTGTGTATATTTATTTTCTTTTACTCACACTATATTCTTCAAAATTATATTCTTTTTTAATGAATATAATTTAGCTGTTCTCCTTACTAATTATTCTATGAATATCACATTTCTTTCTTAATCTCCATATTTCTATTCGATCATTGGTATAACTTACTATCTTTTAATCATCTATGATATCATTCTCAACTAAATAGCCATGTAATTTGTCTATCTTAGTATTACATTGAGTGCACAATGAGTTTGGTTATCTTTGACTTATCTTTCTTGTCTCAATTATCGTTAATCTATTTTACTAAACTCTTCTTATAATACTTATGTTTCTATTATTTTTATTCTTATAAATAATCATGTCACTCTCTTTTTTAGACAAAATCATGTCTCTCTTACTTTCAAAAATGATAATAAATCAATTGTCATACTTAGCCATTCATTTTTCTTATTTTTTAGTATTTTCAGCCATTATCATCTAACCTTCATTTTTCTTCTACCAATTTTCAAATTTTTCTTTTTTTGGTGCTTTTTAACTTCGGTTACAATTGTAAATTTTTAATGAATTTCTAATAAAAAATCATAATTTTCTTTCAATATTTTTAACAAATTTCCATCAAAATTGTACTATTTTATTTCTATTTCAAATGATATATACCTCTTTTTCGATGAATAAATTTTTCTAAAGTTTGCTCCATTTTCTTGAAATTTTATTTAATCAAATTATTTTTAAAGTTACAAAATTGACATTCTCTGAAACTGGTGTCGATAAGCAAAATGTTCTAAATCGACTAACTTGTCCAAACCGACTAAACCCATGGTTTTTATTTTTTTAACGTCCGTCAATTTTTTTTTTAATTTTGAAATGGTTAGAAAACGTAAGTTTATGTTCACATATATACATATATATATATATATATATATATTATAAACTGATCTTTAATATGTGAACATAAATTTGGTGAATAGGATACCATGTCCAACTTGGTGAAGTTCAATTAAAGTTACAAAATTGACATTCTCTGAAACCGGTGCCGATAAGCAAAATGTTCTAAATCGACTAACTTGTCCAAACCGACTAAACCCATGGTTTTTATTTTTTTAACGTCCGTCAATTTTTGTTTGATTTTGAAATGGTTAGAAAACGTAAGTTTATGTTCACATATATATATATATATATTGAAATGGTCTTTAATATGTGAACATAAATTTGGTGAATAGGATACCATGTCCAACTTGGTGAAGTTCAATCTAAGTTCTTTTACTAAAATTTAATCAACATCAAGTTCTTTTATAAACGGTTTATTTACCAGATACGATTGTAAGCACATGGATTCTTCATTTACCAGATACGATTATAAATATATATCCTTGATCACCTTAGGCTATGTTGAAAATTCCACTCCGTCCTATATTGTATCTCTATTTCTTTAGAAAGAGTGTGGTGATGTTCAGACCTTCACGGCTGTGCTACGGATAGATTTGATAGAATTAATTATATGTTTTATTGTATATATATAATGAACATATAGTATATAGTTTATGGATGAAAGAATATAAGTATATAACTCAAACACTACTACACTGATTTTATATTGATGCATACATATGTAGCCATTTCTAATTTTGAAAATTAATGTTCAGTGTTATGACTAAATTTAGGTACTCTTAAACTAATCCACTAAATTAATGTATTAATTAATAGAGAAAATTTGGAAAAATACCTTCAAAAGAGATTGTATTTTGAAAACTACACAATTGTTCATTTTTTTAACTATGCTTAATTTTTTAGTGAAATGTCTAAATTAATCTAACTAAAAATTAGTAATACCTTAAATATTTAATTAAAATATAAATAAATAAATAAAATGAAGATAAGAATGAAGACATTTGATTTTGGAATTTGATTAATATTTTAATTAAAAATATAAATAAATATATAAAAATGAATAAAAGAATGAAGACACAAGATTTTGGAATTTGAATCATCATTGCAGTTCATATATCATTTGATTTGGTCTTTTACTAAATTATATTTAGATCTAACTCTTAGAAATTTTATGATGGACCAAAATAATACACTAATAAACTATTTTTTTTGTTAGAGATGAATTTTCAAATATTTAAATTGATAATTTCGAATTTAAAATTGTCTAAAATAAATTATTATTATAATAATTAATAATTTCAAATTTTAAATTTCTCAAATAAATTAATATTAATAATTTCGGTTTTTAATTTATTAAAATATGTAATATTTCTTTTAAGCTAGGTAAAGAAAAACTTATTTTTTTATATAATATTAAATAAGTGTTGTTTTTAAAAATTTAACTAACAGTGTACTTTTCAAAATTAAAAATTTAAATAAGGCATTTTGGCAATTCTCCCTAATTAATATGTTTTTGTTAGTTAGTGGGCTTTTTCATGGGTTTGAAAAAAAAAGAATTTATCTATATGTCAAATAATATTATATGATGTGTATCAATATTTTATTTTGATTGGTTTTTTATTTATGCTGATGTGTCAGTTTAAGAAACTTTGAAAATGCTGATGTGTCCTTCTCTGAAAAGATAACCCTTGTATTAATTTGTATTACGTATGTTCTTTCTTTTTCAATAAGATTTACCAAAAAATTTGTCTGTTTTGACATCATGGATACTTTAAAGTTCGCAATCTCTGTTTTATTAATGAATTTATCCCCAAAACATCAATCTTAAATACTATATTTAATTTGAATCAGAAAGGAGTTATAACTTATAATAATATAAATCATGAGTAACACATTTTTCTAAGTGAATTATTGTAATGTCTTTAGCAAAACAAAAAAAACTATTGTAACATCAAAATTAATCGATAACACGTAACGTAGTTCTCCAACGGGCAACATGCACATTAATATGGCATTACCCAAAAACGCGTTGAACAGACGAAATTTGGTTCCTTTCTGTGTCGACGCTCGGACGCTTTACAAAATCACTTAGATATCGCAATTTTATTTATTTGTTTGTTAAAAAAGGATACTAACAAAAATTAGTCTTGCACTTGAAAAGGAACGAAAAATAAAAATCACATGCAATAACCATCCAAACCCTCAAGTAGATCCGGATTTGGATCACAACCTTGCCGAGACAAGCTCTCCACAGTATAGCTTCTGCCACAGCTCTGCCTCGCTCTGTCAAAACGTCACGTCTCAGCATCGTCAGAGAAGGCAAGCTACTTCGCCTAAGATGAAGACCAAACTAAACTAGAAAGATCTCGAAAGTTTAGTTTTTATTTTTTATATAACAGAAGTTCCGGAAATTTTTGTAGCGTTGCTTTACAAAGAAATTTCATAAGCGCAGTATTTCAAAATCCTGACTCTTTCAAAGTCAACATTAATGTTTTTTTTTTTAATTTAGACTTCTTCTTTGAGAACAATTTCTTTTTTTTTTTTGACCAAAAAACAAATTTTGGTAATAAAATTTCGAAGTCTTTTATAGTATCCAGGACTCTTTCAAACCATTTCCTTCCTATATATATAAACAAAACGGAAGTTAAAGAATCAGATAAAGTGTCTGTGTTCTCAATCTTTTGATGATGATTACGATGAACCCTACAAAAACTCGTAAACCCTTTCTGAGTTACTTTCTGTTCGTTTGGGGTTTTGTGTTGATGGGTTTTAGTTTAGGACAACCCCAAACAAGTGTAATCAAAGTGGGAGTAGTTCTTGATCTTCAAACAACATTTTCCAAGATCTGTCTCACTTCTATTAACATGTCGTTATCCGATTTTTATGAGGATCATCCTAATTACCGCACAAGACTTGCTCTTCACGTCAGAGATTCCATGGAAGATACTGTTGGAGCTTCAGCTGCAGGTTCGTTACTACTATGTCTGTTGCTTCTCCGTTTCATGTAGTGTAACAGATCATTTGGATCTATTAATTATTATTTTCAGTTGAATGAAACATACTACGTATAGGATTAGGAAGGTTGGGTTACGGTCTTTCAGATCACCGTTGAAAAATCCAACTGGCTTCTTATGTGGTCTTACATACCCTAAGAGTCGTGATGAGCAACAATCTTAATTAGTTATAATCTAACAGACTATAACTAATTTTACTGTGTACCAAGTCGGGATTTTAATTTATTTTCTTGAATTAACAAGTTATATATTTTTGTGAATTGATGAAATATATATATATATATATGTATGATTTTTTGTTTTGCTAAAATATGTATATGATTTTTAGGTAGCGTATACAGTTGCTTTAAATTTAATAAATATATATATAGTTCCTGAAGTTCTTCTAAGTTATTGAGTTTATGGTAAAAATATAATTAATAGGACGTTGGATCAAATCTGTTAGTCACTATATTCTCTCGATACCAAATCCAGTTTTAGTATAGATTAAAAATCCAAGTGTCTTTTTATGTGGTCAAGAAGAGCCACTCTCTTGAATGAAAGAGTCTTCATTTTTTTTTTTTTTCTAGAAAGTCTTGGTGACAATTGTGTGGTCGAAGAAATCCTTTTTTTTTTTTGTAAATTGCATGAAAGAAAATTACAAAGTAGAAATCCATAATGCTAACTAATCTTGTCAAAGTGTTAATTTATCATATATTTAATTCTTGGGCTTCTAGAATTCGATCAATAGTCAAAGACTAATAGTCTACATAGAGACGTTGCATATGATACGTACCTCTAATAGTCTAAATAGAGACATGGCATATATATGGATACCTCTACAATTAATATTTTTGACTCTTACGTAAATTAAGACTGTATATAGTTTTAACACGTCAACTCTATTTTACAAAAAAAAAATAACGTTTTGTGTTTTCAGTGCAGACTTTCGAACAAATTCTAGTTCTATCTTTATTTTCTTAGCTTTTATTACTAGGAAATACAGTGTATTATTAGTAACATTTATAATATACAGATTAAACAAAAAGAATTGTGTGGAAAACTCTAAAACGTTGTTTAATCTAAAATCGAGGGAGAAAAGATACTGATGTTAAGTCCAAAAGTAGCTTAAGGGGTAGATTAAGATTCTTAAATATATTTTAATATTAAATATATTATTAAATTAATTTATTGATATAGAATCGATTCTAAAGACTCGCTATAGGGGTCATTCTACCATTTGCTTCTGCTAATTCATTTCTTTTTCTATTTTTCTTTTTCTTTTTAATTAAGAACTTAGACAAGCTCTCCATTGTGAGTGCTCTTATATTTCCTAGAAAAAACGGAAAAAAGCGTTACGTTTAATAACATATTTAACCATCTTCTTTTCGTTGTGTTTGCTTGTGGTGCAAGCAGCTTTGGACCTAATCAAGAACGAACAAGTAAGCGCCATCATCGGACCCATAAACTCTATGCAAGCCGAGTTTATGATCAGACTGGCCAATAAATCTCAAGTACCGACCATCACATTCTCTGCAACAAGCCCTCTTCTGACATCCATCAACAGCCCTTACTTCGTCCGAGCCACTGTCGACGACTCATCCCATGTCAAAGCCATTGCAGCCATTGTCAAAAACTTTGGATGGAGAAGCGTCGTTGCCATTCACGCAGAGAACGAGCTAGGTGAAGGAATCATGCCTTACATGTTTGACGCTTTACAAGGCGTGGAAGTGCAAAAGAGTGTGATCTCTCCGGATGCCAATGATGATCATATTCGAATAGAACTTTATAAGCTCATGATGAGGCAGACAAGGGTATTCGTTGTCCACATGGGCTCAAGTCTCCGTCTCCGAGTTTTTCAGATAGCTAAAGAGATTGGGATGATGGATGAAGGGTATGTATGGTTACTATCAAATGAAATGACGCCTTTGATGAGACATAGTTTGGAGACTATGCAGGGCGTCTTAGGTGTAAGGAGCCGCGTCCTAAAATCTAAAGAGCATGAAGATTTCCGTTCGAGATGGGTGAGAAAGTTCGAGAAAGAGAATCCATTGATGGAGGGTAATGTAGAGCTAAATGTTTTTGCGCTATGGGCGTATGATTCGATCACGGCATTGGCCATGGCCGTGGAGAACAGCACAATGAGCTTGACGTATGTTAACTCTAATGCCTCAAAAAATAACAAGACAGATTTGGGGAACCTAGGGGTCTCTCGCTACGGTCCAAGTCTTCTAAAGTCTCTCTCGAATGTAAGATTCAAGGGTCTAGTAGGAGAGTTTAAACTCACAAATAGGCAGCTCGAGTCATCGACTTTTGAGATCATCAATGTTCTTGAAAATGAAGAGAGGGTTATCGGATTTTGGACAACGAGCAATGGACTCGTGAATGCAAATTCAGACACATTATTTTCAGGGGAGAAGTTGGGGCCGGTGATGTGGCCAGGGAAGCCAAGAGTTATTCCGAAAGGATGGGATATTCCAACGAAGAAGGGGAAGAAGCTTATAGTGGGCGTTCCTGTGAAGAAAGGCTTTTTAAATTTTGTGGACACAAATTCAACGAGCCCAAAGGGTTTCTCCATAGAAATCTTTGAAGCCGCTCTCAAGAAGTTGCCATATTCAGTCGATCCTCAATACATCCCTTTGGAGTATCTAGATGAGGACTACAAAGATTTGGTCTGCCAGGTCAAAAACGTGGTTAGTTCTTTGTTTTCTTCCTATACTTCTACTTGAAAACAAAAATATAAAGTTCATGTAGTCACATATTAAAACCAATTAGTAACGAGTAGACGAAATCATACTAAAACCAACATAAAGGTTATGCATGTTGTCATCTAGCTATATTAAAAAAAAAATGTGAAGACTTATAACATATTGTTTATATTGTTGAGGCAGCCATGGGATGCACTTGTTGGAGATGTAACAATTAGAGAGGACAGGACTTTGTGTGCTAACTTCACGTTACCGTACACTGAGTCTGGGGTGTACATGTTGGTGCCAATGAGAGACAATGAAGCCAACACATGGGTGTTCCTCAAACCTTGGAGCGTAGGCCTATGGGTCACAACCGGTTGCTTCTTCGTCCTCATTGGTTTTGTTGTGTGGCTGTTCGAACACAGAGTCAATACTGACTTCCGTGGATCGCCTCATGACCAGATCGGTACTAGTTTATGGTTCTCCTTCTCTACCATGGTTTTCGCTCACCGTAAGCTCTTACACCACCAATATATAGTGATAAATGCTAAATTTTATTGGTTTCGATCTCATAAGTGAGAGAGTAGTTTTACGTTGTTTATGGTATTTTCATTGTGATATTTTCTGCCAAGAAATTAACAAGATTCTGATGCTAAAGTGAAATTGTGCGTACGTGTGTATATAGGTGAGAAGGTGGTGAGCAACTTATCAAGATTTGTGATAGTCGTGTGGTGCTTTGTGGTGCTTGTGCTGACTCAAAGCTACACGGCGAATCTCGCTTCTTTGTTGACGGTACAACGTTTACAACCAGCGGTCACAAATGTGAAAGATCTCATCAAAAATGGGAATCCTGTAGGGTATCAATACGGCACTTTCGTTAAAGATATTCTTGAAAAAGAAGGATTTCGTGAACTCAAGCCTTTTGGATCCGCCGAGCAATGTATCGAGTTTTTATCCAATGGGTCAATTGCAGCAGCTTTCGACGAAGTGGCCTACCTTAGAGATATAATTTCTCACCTTCCTAACAGCTCCAAATATGCCATGGTTGAAACTTCCTATAAGTCTGCTGGCTTTGGCTTTGTAAGTTTCTTATTTCCTTTAACTTTACGTTTTTTTTTCCCCTTTAACTTTACGTTAACATAATATTATGAGAAAAAGTACCTATTTTCATTGCATGCTTTGATCGGTGTGTAGGCATTTCGCAAGAATTTACCTTTGAGGGATGATGTCTCAAGGGCTATCTTGAGTATGACTGAAGCCGATGAAATGAAAGACATTGAGAACAAATGGTTCCCGAAACAAATTAATTCTTCTGATACAGCGAACGTTATTGCGTCCAACCGTCTAGGACTCGCTTGCTTATGGGGACTGTTCTTAATAGCAGGCATTGCTTCATTCTTGGCATTTCTCGTCTTTGTAGCCCTCTTCTTGCACGAGCATTGGCACACGCTACGTGATGATTCCGGAGGTTCCGTGTGGAGAAAGCTAAAGTCTTTGTTCAGAATCTTTGTTGAGAAAGACATAAAGTCGCATAGTTTCAAGAATGTGAGTACACCAATTACTCAGAGCCCTTCGAGTGTGGAGATCAGACCATGGCCACGAAGCATGTCATTAAACAGGGAATTTGAGCTAAAAAGAGTCACTTTCGTCGTGAGCGGTGAAAGTTTCAAAACGCAATCGAAACATGATGGAGAACTGATAGAGCGAAACATAACCGAAACATGATGATAAGTCTGGAGCTGAACGATAAAGCGAAATTCTTTAATAATTCCATAGCAAGTTAGATAATAATCTAGGTTCCATGCATATAATTAATTCCATGTATGTTATTAAAAAAAATTTCATTTGTTAAGTTATAAACTTTATGTCTATGCTGTATTTATTTATAGTAAGTAAAAAACTACTGTAAAAAGATGTTGGTCAAAAGCAAATCATATAGGTCAATCAAGCTCAAAAATCTCAAAGCCTTTTTTTATTGAGAAATTTCTTGGAATATCATCAAAACAAATTTTAAAGACACATTTAACACATCCTCTTTAAAGTTTCACAAATACCATTATCTATTCAACGTAAAAACTTTTTTACCCTCATATATAAAAATAAAATAATTAAAATTTATCATTTATCAGAAAACGATTACACAATAGCCTGAAGCTGTTGGTTTTATGCTCTTGCATAATTTTAGAAGCCATTGCTTCTTAAACAAGGCATAAATATGTGATAGAGAAAAGTACAACAGAATTGGAAGAGAAAAAAAAATAGAGTATAGAATCTGGAAAATTTTTCTTTATCTCAACAATCTTACAATTACACATCACTAACACTTATATAGTGATCTTACATAAACGAACACAATTGTTCGTAATAATACATAACTGTTCGTCACTTTATACGTACCCATTCGATAAGTTATGACTAAAATATATCTTTTTATTTTACATAACTTTCACTTATATAATTAATATATAAGCAAACTCAATTATAAATTAACAGAAGCATGGTTCTACCAAATCGCTGAGCAGTAGATCTAAGTCTGGATTCAACAGACTCACATTTTGTATATTGAATGCTTTTATGCATAGATGAAGTCATTCTCTTAATATCACGTTGATGAAAGTTTTGTTCGTTGGTGTTGAGGGCATTTATTTTCTTTCACGTTGCAAACTTTACCTGTAACTCAGAAATTAGCTTTCAACATTTTAGGGTTTCTTATCATCCCATAGTATTACTTGAACACTTTGTTTTATTTGATGTTATAGAGACTAGTGATCACTGGAAGTTGGGATCCAAGAGGTGCAAGTGGGCCGGAGCGCACACAGATTGGTACACACTACATATCAGCAACTTGAGCGCTTGCACTCTCTTCTCTAGTTGGAAATCGTTTGGTAGTAACAGCTGGATTCTGGATTGCTTGTCAACATTTATGATCTCAGAAATGTGTCCCAGCCTGAGCAAAGAAGAGAGTCCTCACTTAAATACCGGACAAGATGTGTCAACTTTGTTGCTCTAACATCTTGTTGCCTCTGAAAGAGCAAACACGGGTAAGATGCTAATATAAAAATGCTGAACCCTTCAAATAACCGCCAAATTAAGGAGCAGGACAAATTCACCTGATTATGCCAGCAAAATTTTCACAAACGGCCTTTGGACCAACACACATGATATCAAGAGCAGCCATAATTTTAGTCACCAATCAAGAATAACAGAAAATTGGAAATTCAGGAAGGCATTCCTAAATCCCACGAACTCATATTTTAACTCAACTTGCTACTATTTTCCTGGTGTGAGTTTAGCTTCTCGTTTTTTGCTGTCTCTTTGTTTTCGTTGTATTTGCCCTCTGTTTTAGATTTTGGTCTTTTTGTTTTCTAAATTTCTCTGTAATTTCTATCTCAAATCTAAACCGATATAAAATTTAATATTTTACCCAAAAAAAAACTTACTACTATTTTAATATTAAAATCTTCTTTTGACAATTAAGAAAGCCTTTTTAATATTATAAGAAGACATCCTTAAGGGGATTATTGGGAGATGAATTTATATAGATTTTGAGAATTTTGAGATTCTATCGTTATTGGTTTATTGATTGTTAAAATCTTACGAAAATCCATTGTTATTGATTTAAAGATTTTAAAATTCCATCCAAAATCCTTTGCTATTCAAAAGGTTTGGCTTTTAAAGATTTTATGATTAAAAGCTTGTGTTATTGGGACATGGATTTTAAACAATTTAATTCATAAAATAAGATTTTGGAAGCCTTTCAAAAGATTACCTATATGGCTTAGATTATCAAAGTCATTATAATAAAATATTTTTATAGATTTTCTAAATAAATAAACTCTTTCTAAATTTAACAAATCTTTGGAGGTTTAACAAATTTCTCAACTCTTAAAATCAATCAAAACTTTATAACTTCATCTCTCAATAACTCCCTTTTAATATTATTTGATAAGCAGTTTTAATGGAAAAAAACTGATGTGACCCAACCAGAAGAACAGTTAGTGTAAATTAATACTACTTTTACATATTTCTATAATAAAAATAGAAATTTACAAAAGCTCATAAATCATTAATACAAATGTTTATAAAAACAAGCGGAAGATTTCATGAATATCGGTTTATGAAAGCAAACTCTCCCCTCAAAATCGTATTTTTGTTTATAGCAAATTAACCTCTCTTCAAATTTAGTTATTCTTCTGCAGCCTCTAACCCAAGTACCCAAAGCTAACTCTACGTCCTCTAATTATCCTTCAATGAGTTACACCGTAATGTATTTCTTCAACACATTATAAATCTAAATGGTCATCACAAGCGAATTGAACCGATTTTTGTTAATCGGTTTATTGAGTTTGTTTTTTTATTAGTTTAATTAGACTTTCATTGTTGAATTAAATATATTTTAACTAAACTTTTTTTTTATCAAACCTTAATTTGCATTAACTTAACAAAGTTTTACGAAGCGGCGGCTGGTTGTTGGTGTTGTCGATTTTTTTACGAAGTCATATCACATGAACGAATGAAGAAGAAGAGATGGAAGAGAGTGAAGGAGGACGAAGGATGAGCTGAAGAAGAAGATTTATGAAAAAAAAAAAAGTATGAACAATGGAGAAGGAGAGTGCATCTCACGCGCTCATTCTTTCTCTCTCAGTTTTTTTTTCTTTGCCACAGGTTCACGATCTCAGATGGGCTCCGGTGGCTTTCTGATATTGAACTCCATATTGGTTTTTTAAAGATAAAATTATGGTTTTTTTTAATTAAGTTTATTACCAATTGTCCGCTTTGATACATTAGCTATAATAGTCATATCACTAGTTGAAATTAATAAAATAATCATATAAAAAATGTATTATTCTTGATATTTTTTTACCATAGAAGAAGTATTTTTTATATTTTATATAATTTATACTAAATTATCTTTCTTTTTCTTTTCTTTTTTTCTTCCTTTTCTCCTCTTTTACCTTCACGTCTTCTCTTCTCCCATCCTCCTCATTATATTCTTTTCCTTCCATTCTTCTCTATTTGATGACTCATATTATATAAATTATATGAAATAATTATATTTGTTAATAGTATAGTATAATACTAAAATTAATATAGTATAATATGTTAATATAAAATTGATATATAACTAGAACCTCAAGTACTATACTATATAAGTCTTATCGTATAAGACTATATATTATAGTACAGTCTGAAAAAATCACATATTATAGTATAGTCTATAAAAAAATATAGATAATATATGTTTTTGACGTTAAGAAAAAGAAGTTTTTAATAATTTTATGTGGATCATGGTTAGTTTGCATATTATTTGAATAGTATAGCTATATTCTTCGATTGTTTTGTAAATATAATCAGATAACGAAAAAGCTTATACTTATATAAGGAGATGTAACAGACCTTTAATATCATTCAGAAATAAAATGAAAATTCTTCTTCTCTCTTGTCTTCTTCGTTAAGTTGTTCAACCCTAGCTGAGAATCTCTTCTACTATCCTAAATTCTCTGCCGGTGAGTGCGGAATCCGTGTTTTAGGAACATTGGTTTCGAATTCTATCAGTTTTTCGGGAAACTGCAGGTTTATCTATATCAAAGGTATCAGACACCAAATGATTCTACGGCTTCAATGGCAGAAACACGTAACCAGATTGTTGCTCACGAAATCGAAGAATTAGGATCAAGGTTGGAAGAGATGATGACTCGCACAGAAACTTTGGAAGGGAAATTTGATGAACAGAACAAAAAAAATCGAAAAAGGGTTCACTGATAAGTTCGAAGCAATCTGCTTACTTCGTGCCGAGACTTCAACTTGCGCCTCTCCGCTACACTCTTCTACTCCGAACACGGGCAAATTCGAACAAGGAAAAGGAAGAACATGTCCTCAAACTAACTACTCGAGAGTTACTAGGTTAGCCAAGATCGATTTTCCTCGGTTCAATGGTGATAAAATCAAAGAATGTCTGTTTAAGGTGGAACAGTTTTTTGAGGTTGATCATACACCAAACGACCTAAAAATGGGGATTGCTTCCATCCACTTCGACGATAAGGCAATAACTTCGCATCAATCGATCATGGAATCAGACATGGGGAATATCGTGATGTTTAATTGACACACATACAAGCTGCTACTGCATGAGCGATTTGAGGAGGTGATGGATGATCCAATGGCGGAGTTAAAAAGACTGCAAGAAACGGATGGCATTATGGATTACCATGCTCGTTTCGAGATTATTAAAACAAAGGTTAAATTGTCGGAAGAGTACTTGGTTAGTGCGTATTTGGCGGGCTTGCGGACGGACACGCAGATGCATATCAGGATGTTTCAACCCCATAATACACGCCAATGCTTACTTCTTGGTTGCTTATATGAGACGGCTCATCCAAAGAAACCGTTTAACACAGGCTGGTCTAGTTCCAAGGTCAATGTGGGGACTAAAGGAGTACTACCATTCAAACAAGATGCTGAGACAAGAGTAGGCTTTCCTGCTGCAGGACCTAAAATTAAAGACCAACAAAACAAGCTTCGACATTTTCTGACCTCATAGGAGATGGCCAAGAGAAGAGCGGATGGTTTATGTTATTATTGTGATGAGAAGTACACACCAGGTCACTTTCTCAAACACAAGAAGACACAAATATTCATGCTAGAAACAGAGGAAGATGAGGACAGTGAGGACCCTTCAGAACAAGTGGTCGAAGAAGAAATAGGGGACATCGCTCAAATTTTGGTGAATGCTATTGTTGGAATCTCGGATTATAACACTATGAGAGTCAAGGGAGAATGTGGGAAACGTGCTTTATTCATTCTCATTGATACATGCTCTACTCATAACTTTTTTTTACAAGACCGCAGCAGAGAAACTGGGATGCAAAATACGTTCTGTCAGGACGTCGCGAGTTAAGGTGGCTGATGGTCGTAAGGTTACTGTTGGTGGTCACACTGATAACTTTCA